GAAGGCCCCAGTGCCACTGCCCGCATGCGCCACGCACACCTATTTTATTTCGGCGCACCCCTCACACGCTCCGTGGCCCCATAGGGAGCTCCACCGAAGGCCCCAGTGTCACCGCCCGCATGCGTCACGCACACCCACGCGGGCACACCCCTCACACGTTTCGTAGCCCCACAGGGAGCTCCGCCGAAGGCCCGAGTGCCACCGCCCGCATGCGTCGCGCACACCGATTTCGGCGCACCACTTACACGTTTCGTGGCCCCACAGGGAGCTCCACCGAAGGCCCCAGTGTCACCGCCCGCATGCGTCACGCACACCCATTTCGGCATACCCCTCAACCGTCTCGTGGCCCATGGGGAGCTCCACCGAAGGCCCCAGTGCCACCGCCCGCATGCGTCACGCACACCGACTTCGGCACGCCCCTCACACGTTTCGTGTCCCCATAGGGAGCCCCGCCGAAGACCCCACTGCCGCCGCCCGCATGCGTCACGCACACCGGCTTCGGCACAATTGGGAGCTTCGCCGAAGTCCCGAGTGCCACCGCCCGCATGCGTCACGCACACCGATTTCGGCACACCACTCACACGTTTCGTGGCCCCACAGGGAGCTCCACCGAAGGCCCCAGTGTCACCGCCCGCTTGCGTCACGCACACCAATTTCGGCACACCCCTCAAACGTTTCGTGGCCCCACAGGGAGCTCCACCGAAGGCCCCAGTGCAACTGCCCGCATGCGTCACGCACACCCATGTCGGCACCCCCCTCACACTTTTCGTGCTCCCCTGAAGGCCCCAGTGCCACCGCCCGCATGCGTCACCCACGCCCATTCTGGCACACCCCTCACACGTTTCGTGGCTCCACAGGGAGCTCCACCGAAGGCCCCAGTGGCTGCGTTCGCATGCCGCATGCGCCCACCGTGCCTATTTCGGCGCACCCCTCACACGTTTCGTGGCCCTATAGGGAGCTCCACCGACGGTCCCAATGGTTGCGTTCGCATGCGCCCACCGCACCTATTTCGGCACCCCTGTCACGCGTTTCGTGGCCTCATTGGGAATTCCCCCGACGGTCCCAGTGGCTGCTTTCGCATGCGCCCTCCGGACAATTTTTGGCACACCTCTCACACGCTTCGTGGCCCTATCGGGAGTTTCTCCGAATGCGTTGCATACAACGACGGTATTCATAAGTGCATATGGTTGGGTCTTTCGCAAGGCTTATTTTCTTGCGGTCGTCCAGCCCCCGGCATTTTCAAATTTTGTTCCCAACCATCCTGTGGTGTTGGGTCCTCGTTTTGAAGAGACATCGCCGCCAGTCCCTCTTTTCCTCTCCTCCTCCCCCTCCTCCCTCCCTCCTCACATCATCAACATGATCATCATCGTCATCGTCATCGCAATCATCGTCGTCACCATCATCAACCTCATGGCCGTCATCATCGTAGTCAGCATCGTCGTCATCATCATCGTCGTCATCATCATCATCAGCATCATCATCACCATCACTATCACCATCACCATCATCATCATCATCATCATCAGCAGCATCAGCATCAGCATCAGCATCAGCATCAGCATCAGCAGCATCATCATCATGACCGTAATCATCACCATCATCGTCATCAGCACCATCATCGCCATCGTCTTCGTCGCACCCCTCACACGGTCCGTGGCCCCATAGAGAGCTCCACCCAAGGTCCCACTGACGCAGTTCGCATGGCGGCGCCGCCCCATTTTGGCCTCTCCTCACACGTTTCGTGGCCCCATAGGGAGCTCCACCGAAGGCGTCAGTGGCAGCGCCCGCATGGCGTCCCCGCCCCATTTCGGCACATCCTTCACTCTATAAAGGGGGCTCTACATCATGCCCGAGTAGCAGCGCCCGCATTGCGGACCCGCCCCGTTTCGGCACACTCTTCACGCGCTTCGTGGCCCCATATGGAGCTCCACCTCAGGTCCCAGTGACGCAGTCCGCACGGCGGCGCTGCCACATTCTGGCACACCCCTCACACGCTTCGTGGCCCCATAGGGAGCTCCACCTGAGGTCCCACTGGTGCAGTCCGCATGGCGGCGCCGACTTATTTTGGCACACCCCTCACACGTTTCGTGGCCCCATAGGGAGCTCCACCTCAGGTCCCAGTGGCGCAGTCCGCATGGCGGCGCTGCCTCTTGTTGGCACACCCCTCACACGTTTCGTGGCCCCATAGGGAGCTCCACCGAAGGTCCCAATGGCGCAGTCCGCACGGCGGCGCCGCCCGATTATGGCACACCCTTCACACGTTTTGTGGCCCCATGGGGAGCTCCACTCAAGGTCCCACTGACGCAGTTCGCATGGCGGCGCCGCCCCATTTTTGCACACCACTCGCACGCTTCGTGGCCCAATAGGGAGCTCCACCTCAGGCCCCAGTGGCAGCGCTCGCATGGCGTCCGAGTCTTTCGCCAAGCTAACTAGGGTCTTTCCCTCAACTGCATATGGTTGGGTCTTTCGCCAAGCTGACCAGTCTTCCCCGCGGCGGTCCTCCCACCTTTTTTCCCGCCGCCCGCTGCCCCCGGTTCCGTTTCGACTTGGCGTGCCATTCTTCTTCCCTCGCCCGTCGCCCGCTTCCTTGTTTTGTTCTGTCCGGTGAGCTCTCCTCCGTCGCCCGGAGCCATCGAGCGGCCTGCGGCACCATTCTTTTCAGTAAGCATGGCCCAGATCCATGACAACATTCATAGGCCCTTCCCGCCCCGATCGTCGCTCCCCCATCCCCCTCCCCCAACTTTCACGGCCTCGGGCTGCGCGCAGGCAGCCACCCCCCGAGTGGGTCTGGCGGGCCTCGAGGAGGCCCCCGACGGGCTTCCGGGGCGGTGCCGCCACCCCGGCGCCGCCCTGGGCGGCGCCCCCGGGACGCTCCGCGCCCCGGGGAGGGGGTGTTATCAGGAGGGAAAAAACACACAGAGACACAATGAATCGTCGATTCCCCATAAGATATGGGAAAAAATATGGGAAGGGAGGTGGAGGACAGACACCCAGAAAACATGGGAAAATATGGGGGGTCTGTTTATTTGTGTGTATTTATTGGTGTGTCCCAGGGCCCCTTCAGTTACCCAGAGGGTCTCTTGAGGCCGGTCGGGATTGACTGGAGGGGTTTTCTGCGCGTGGCCCGAGGCCTCACCACTCCTCCCTGCCTCCCCGGGACCCCTCACCGCCGACAGTGTGAGTTTTCGGCGCTGGGCTCGGCTGACGACGTGGGTCCCCAGAGGTCGGCACCCCTTCCCCGTTTGCTCCTGGGCAGTCTTTTGTGACAAAATACCCCATCAGCCGCTCGTCGCGATTTGTTCACGACGCGAGGGGATCAGGGCGCCGGGCCAAAAGTCGACTCCCAGACCTGTCCAGAACAGGTGTGCGTTCCGACCACCATTCCGTGGCGTGGCGACGCAATCGCCTCGAGAGGCCTAGGAGATGCAATACGCGCACCACACATTACCCTCATGGCGGCAAGGGAGAACAGGGGGGCGGGTCGAGGAGCAGGAGACCGGCCAGTGCAAAAGCGCCCTCGTGGGCAAGAGCGCTGTGGCCGAAGTGGTGAGGATCCCATGGCGCTGCCACGCGGAGCGGCTGCCGGACTGGTGGGGGGCCACACGTTCGCTGTCTCCCCGTTCCCACTGCGGGATTCGGACCTCGAGCCTCTGTCCTCGAGCCTGTCGGCTGTAGCGAGATATCCTCGGACTTCTATCCTTGACCTGCCCCGGAGTCGTAGGAGTATATTCTCGAACCTTTTCCTTGAAGTGCATCGGAGAGTATCCTCGCACCTCGATGCTCGAACCTCGAGCGAACCGCTATCAGCATTCGGGAACAACGGATATAATCCTCGAGCCTCGATCCCTGAACAGCTTCCCCCCTCTCGGCCGCGCGCAGAGAGGGGTATGGGGGAGGGGGACGGTTTCTTCGAAGCACCCCTGCTTCTTAGAAGCGTGTCCCCCTCCCCCTTACACGCTACATGGGCACAATTCGACACTACATGGACACGAATCGACGCTAGATCGGCGCTATCTCATCGATTGCCCAGGTAAGGACTGTTGCCCCTCCAGTCAGCCACGCGCAAGGGGGGGTGCTGGGGAGGAGGGGGGTTTTCTTAGAAGCACCCCTGCTTCTTAGAAGGCGCGGGCCTTGTATGTAAATGTAGGGCCGGTGCCTTTAAGAACCAGCCTCTTTGTATCGGGGCCTTGGTACGGGGGTCGATGCAAACGGGGGTCAGCCAGAGCGCCAGATCTTGCTGGATCTTGCAGGGCCAAGGAGCACTGACTGGGGCTTGCGCGCAGGATCTTACGGGGTCCTACAGGAGCTTGCAGCGTCCTGCAAAGCCGGACTGGCCCATTTGCATTGACACGGGTCAGTGCGTCCCTGATTCTAAGAAGCCTTCCCTCTCCCCCTAACCCGCTGTCTTGGCATCGCTCGGACGTGTGCATTTTTTCTCGGCGAGGACTCCATGGAAGAGCCTTTTGGGCCACCTTGCCGAGGAAGTGCACGCACGGAGCCGAAACATGCCCTGGGAAGGGACAGCGATGGCGACTTCTGCGCGCCTCCCGCCTCCGCTTACTCTGGACACGAGAGAAAGGAGGAGGAGGAGGAGGAGGAGGAGGAGGAGGAGGTTGAGGAGGAGGTTGAGGAGGAGGAGGACGAGGAGCAGGAGCAGGAGCAGGAGGAGGAGGAGGAGGAGGAGGAGGAGGAGGAGGAAGGAGGAGGAGGAGGACGAGGAGGAGGATTAGGAGGAGGAGGAGGAGGAGGAGGAGGAGGAGGAGGAGGAGGAGGGGGAGGATCAGGAGGAGGAGGTGGAGGAGGAGGAGGAGGAGGACCAGGAGGAGGAGGAGGAGGAGGAGGAGGAGGAGAGGAGGAGGAGGAGGATCAAGAGGAGGAGGAGGGAGGAGGAGGAGGAGATCAAAGGAGGAGGATCAGGAGGAGGAGGAGGAGGAGGAAGAGGAGGAGGAGCCTTCTGCCGCAGGCGCCGCCCGCGCCCGCCCCCCTCCCCACCCCGCCAGGAGCTCGCCGGCAGGACCGTGCGCACGAGCGGCTTGGGGCGCCTCCCGCCGGCCGCGGCGGGGGGGCTCATCCTCCTCCCCCTGATCCTCCTCCTCCTCCTCCTTCTCCTCCTCTGCCTCCTCCTCCTCCTCCTCCTCCTCGTCCTCCTCCCCCCCCTCCTCCTCCTCCTTCTCCTCCTTCTCCTCCTCCTCCTCCTCCTCCTCTTTCTCCCCTATTCGGCCCGATTCGATTCCGATGTGTTCCGATTTCTCGGAGGAGGAGAAAGGTGCCCACGCCGCCAACCTTCCCCCGGGTTCTCCCTTTTTCGGAATCCTGGGCGCCCTTCGTCGCCACTGCTGGATTCGCCTCGAAATCCTGGTCAGAGCGCACCCTTGGAGAGGTCTGGGGGGTAGCGGTATCGGTACCAGTTGGGGTCCCCAGATGGTTTCCGATTCCGATTCGGATTCCCATTCGGAATTACGATTTCTCCATGGGGGCCTACTGGCTCGCTAATGTCCGCCGATTCAACTTCTCCCGCCTTGGCTGCCGATTTCCGCCGAGCCGATTCACTTCGATCGCCGATCCGACTCATCGATTCGATTCTGGGCTCTCCTGGAAGAAGCGGGGAGGAGAGCACGCCAGAGATCCTTCGAGGTTCTGAGGCCCAGACCAGGGGCACCGGGAGGGGACGATAATTAGGCACAGGGGGGGGAGGGACTCTTCGACCCTCAATCGCCCATTGATCGCCGAGAGGGGTCTGATAGCCCCACCCCACCCTCGGCGGAGCGGATTCGCTGTCGGGGCGCATCGCGGATCTATCGACGATGTATCGCCGATCCCAGGTTGATGTATCCCCTCCATGCCAGTACCCCCGTATCGCTTCCTTTCAAGCCCAGACACGCTTGCGTCCCGACAACATCATGATGGACGTTTTCCGCAAGGTTCGGCCTCTGGGGGCCTTTGCCGGGCTTTGTGAGCGTGAAACAACGACCCGGTATGAAACACTGGCCTTGGGGACAGGGTCGGGGCTTGGGGGGGCCGCACATTGACAGAAATCATAGCATCTCAGATTTGGGGATAGAGGTTTCAGTTGAGCGCCGCAGAAACACGGGCTCGATGGTGCCGACATCAACCCGTAAGCTGCCCGCGTACGATACCGCGTAAGCGCCCTCGTTTCTAATGTAGCGTGCCGCGCTGGCGGCCCGCGTAAGCCGCGGCGGAAGGTCGCTACGCCATCTCGCGCAAGACAATTGTTTGCTCGTCGACCAGGCGTTTCTCCATGTTCCGCACTCCCGCCTCGCCGATTCTCGCCAGATGGCTCGCGCAGTGGCAGAACGAGAGACCACAGAGGAGACCCCTGGGGGGGGGAGGGCACGGGGAGCCCGAGGCCGCCAGGTCTCCGGAGGCACACCCCAGCATCGTTCGCGAGCCTTGGGGACGGGGGGTCCGTGCACACGGCGGTCAGCCGTGGCGCCGGAGCTTGCGGGATCCTGCAGGGCCAAGGGTGTACCGACCTGGGCCTCCGCGCAGAATCTTACGGGGTCCTGCAGGAGCTGGCCGGGTCCTGCAGTCGGGGGTGGACAGAGCCCCCGACAGTGACACGTCGATTCGTGAACTGTCCGTTTTCGGTTCTCGAGAGGGCGCCGCGGCCGTCATTTTCCAGGCCTGCGCCCGCCAGGTTTGGGCCTTCGGTCGTTTTCACTAGACCACGTTTTACTAAAGGGAGGTCTGTCCATCCCCGATGCAAGACCTGACGGACCCAGGCTTGCACTGACCGGGGTCAATGCGTCCCCGACGCGTTTCGCCAGAGTTCTCGAATTGAGGTAAACATCGGCCACGCGCAGAGGGGGGTAGGCGGAGCGGGGAATGCTTCTCTAAAGCACCCCTGCTTCTTAGAAGGCGCGGGTCTTGTCTGTAGATGTGAGGCCCGCGCCTTCTATGGAGCAGGCTCCTTCTGAGAAGCCTTGCCCCTCCCTACCCCGTTGCGGGCGCCGCCCCAAAAAAGGTTACAGAAGCGTCCCACCATTGAGGGGATGGAGCCCGAGGCCGACTGGTCCGGCAGCTTTTCGGCCAGAGACTTCACACGAAGGTGCACATGGCCTTGCTCTCAACCCCGTCCCCTATAGCTCGAGTAGAGGACCGACTTCTTGTCGAATCTGCGAACGATACGTGTACTGCTCGCACATCCACAAGCATTACACGCATGTGTCGTGCACTCGACGACCATCATATTTGGGGTAAACAAATTCTGTTGTCGATCCCCTACTCTCGAATAGCGCACCTCCATCTCTTCGATCCGCCAGGGTGCTATCAGGGTGCTTTGCCGCGGTAATGTCGAGGTTCTGTGATCGAGGTTCCAGGTTTTGCTATGGGCTTCGTCTTTTACGCGTCCCCGGGCGTCCTCGTCGGAACGGCTGGATCTGCCTCGAAATTCTGATCAGAACACGGCCCTGGACACGCCAAGGGGTCGAACTTCAGGGGAGCCTCGGGCATCGCGGGTCGAGGTCCTCGAGAAAATTCGCACCGCGAACCATTCGCGACGGAAGGTGTTTGCAAGCTCTGATTGTGGGTGCCCAGGGGAGGAGGATGAGGAGGAGGAGGAGGAGGAGGAGGAGTTTTGACAAATTCCCGACAGGTCCATTGAAAAGGCGGACCCCGTTGAAGGGGTCGAGCGCTCCAGGGATCCACGCTGCGGAACACAAAAAGGAAAACACTGACGGCCGCCCACGCCCCCCCGAAGTCCGCGCCCCCGAGCATGGCTCTCGCCTGGGGTCGCCGTTCTTGGCGTCGCTCGGACCCGTGCAGTTGTTCGCGGCCAGGGCCATCGAGGAGCCTCCTGGACCATCGAGCAACAGAAAATACTCCGGAGGGGAACGAACACACAGACACAATTCATCGTCGATTCCCCAGAAAAGATGGGAAAATATGGGAAGTGGAGGGGAAGACAGAAGCCCCAAAAATATGGGAAAATATGGGGAGTCTTTTTACTTGTGGGTCTTTATTTGTGTGGCCTGGGGCCCCTTGAAACACACGCGCGAGATCGGACAACACACACGGGGAAAATGGACGTCCGAGCGGTGGCAAGCCTTCTGCGCGCAGCCGGCACGAGCCGCCCTCGCCCGCCGGGCTCGAGAGGCAGCAACAACGGCAGAGGCACAGACTGTCGGAGCTCCGCGCGGACCTCTTGGATCGGTGCCGGAGGCGCTCTCGAAAATCAAACAAGTCGTTGGAGCTCTCATATTCGGAGGTGGATAGACCTCCTACCCTGACACGTCGATTAAGGAATTGGCCGTTTTCGGTTCGCGAGAGGGCGTCGCGGCCGTCATTTTTGCGGGTCCAGGTCCGTCGGTTTCGGTGCTTGGCCGTTTTCACTAAGGGGAGGTCCACTAAAGGGAGGTTTGTCCATCACCGACATATGTTTTCCCATGGACTTTGATGTTAGTCCCGCTCGCCATCTCGATCTCAGGTCGATCGGGTGGATAGTACTATCAAAAGGCACTCCGGCGGGATGCCGCAGGGGGGGGGGCCCAGCGCAGATCGAAGACGTCCGCGCGGGACTTTACAGTTTATGTGCATGTTGTGTGTTTTTCTGCTTCAGATCTGGGGCCCGGCGCAGATCCAGCACGTCCGCGCGGAACTCCAAATTTTGGGGTCGTGTGGTCTTTTTTTCTATCTGGGGCCCCAGCGCAGATCCAAGAGATCTGCGCGGAACGCCAGCAGCTTACAGTGCCGTTTTTAATACATGCTCCGCGTGCGGATCATGTATAAAAAATGAAGGGATTTAGTATTAAAGCAACGATGAGCTCATGCATAAATTTAGTCATACATTCGTCATGTATTAAACATCCTATGTGCTTAAACATCCCATGTATTAAAAACTGCCCTGTATGCCTTGTTTTTTTACCCCCCCCCCGCTCCCCAGGTGCACAAACGCCGGCCTCACCTGCGCCGCGGTGCGCGACGGCCCCGACTTCGTGCTGGAGGCGGGGGCTCTGGCCCGCGCCTCGGCGGCGCCCGTCCGCGGCAGGCCCCTCCGGCGGCCCCACCGTGGCGCCGTGGCAGCAGAGCCACGGCGGAAGGCTCCTCGCCGTGGGTCGGCAACGCGCAGAGGGGGGTAGGGCAAGCTAGGTGCGCTCGCGTCATATCTGACGTCCTACCCCTCCCTCCCATCCCTTACCATGGCGCTGATTTTCTCTATCCGCGGACGCGTGTCGTAGCGGACCTGTGGCTCCGCGCGCGCGTGCGTAGTGGGTGGTGGTGCACGTGCGTGCGTGCGTGCGTGTGTGCGTGGTTGTCGTGGTGGTGGTGGTGGTGGTGGTGGTGGTGGTGGTGGTGGTGGTGGTGGTGGTGGTGGTGGTGTGGTGGTGGTGGTGGTGGTGGTGATTGTGGTGGTGGTGCTGGTGGTGGTGGTGGTGGTGCTGGTGGTGGTGGTGTTGGTACTGGTGCTGGTGCTGGTGGTGGTTGTGGTGGTGGTGGTGGTGGTGGTGCTGTGTGCTGGTGGCGGTGCGGTGCGGCGCGGTGGTGGCGGGCGGATGGGCGCGCGAGAAAAAGGCCCGCGCTGGGGCGAGAACGCCATCCTGAACGACGGAGGCCAAACACCGATCCGAAAATGAGGCCCACGCTGCAGCGGGAGCACGATTCGGAACGATTCGGGAGCAGAAATGAGGCCGGCGCCTCAACGAGAGCAGCATTTTGGGAAAAAATGACGCCGGCGCCTCAGCGAGAGTCGTTTCCCGGGATTTCCCGGGAATCCTGTGTGTAAAAAAACAGTACGCGGAGGGTGCGCGGCCATCACCCGGACGCCATCAGGGGAAGAGGGAGAGTATTTTCATATTGAGTAATTGTGGAGGGGAGATGGCTTCTTAGAAGCACCCCTGCTTCTTAGAAGGCGCGGGCCTTATCTATAGATGCAAGGCCGGCGCCTTCTAAGAAGCAGCCTGCTTCTAAGAAGCCCTCCCCCCTCCCCCCACCCCCTTGTGCGCGCCGCCAAATGGGGGGGCGCGGGTGCTGAGGTCTGTCGCCGTCTGCGGGCCCTCGGGGTCCGAGAGCGCAGGTGGGATCGGAGGGTCGCTCCGCATCGCCGATGCATCGGCGATGCGGCTCGAGGTGGAGCCCGATTTTCTCCACGCTGGCGTCGCCGATGCACCGCCGACGTCGCCGATGCACCGCCGATGCATCGCCAATGCGGCGCGATCCTCCCACCCTATCTACTCGGATCCCATCTAGGAGGCCTCTACGGGGCCCTCCACGGACCCTGGGACTTTCGGAGAACGACCCAGGATGGAGATCTCCTCCTGGGGGAAAGCGCTTGATGCCGATCTCTCCTCTCATAGGAGCGACGCGTGGGCGCGGGGGGTCGTCTGCGGCGACATTGGCGCGCAAGCTCCCAGCGTAAGTTCGCTCGTAAGCGCGCTCGCTTCCGATGTGGCGTGCCGCGCTGGCGGCTCGCGCAAGCCACCGCGTAAGGTCGCTGTGTCATCTCGCGTAAGACCCGCTTCTTTCCGCTTGGTATCGCTCGGACGTGTGCACTTCTTCTCGGCGGGGATTGATAAGGAGTATCTTGGATCATCCTGCGAAACAACCACGCACGGAACCGAAAAAAGCACAGGGAATGGACGTCCGAGCGATGGCCAGTCCGTCGCCCACATGGCTTGTTCTTTTCAGGCGCTTGTGGCCCTCGCCAGGTTCAGGGGCCGTCGGAAAGCGATCTGGGATGAGACATCGGTCCCAGGGACTGGGCCCAGACCTCTGGTGGTCGACGACGATGCCGAAGACGTAGTCGAAACAAGGACGAGCAGAAAGTGCTGAGGGTGAGTTGCATGCCCCGCTTTCGCTCTCAGGCACACTCGAGTCATACTACGAGCCTCTTCGTCAAGCAGCCTGACTGTTGCGGGCCACCCTAAGGGTAGCTTGGTATCGTTTGTTTCCCGTTTGGAAGCGCGAGTGGTCAAAAGCGAGGTCGCCTCTGTGAAAAGGCCGGCATTCCCATTCCCCATGTCAAATCGTCATCCCATTTCTCTCCTCGTCCCTCTCTCATTACAGTCCCCCCACCGCGCATAATTGCTTGAGTAGACCTATGTGTCACAATATGATCAAAGGCGAAAATTGATTTCCAATGGATCTCCCCGCAGGCTCCTGCATAAACGCTCACGATATCATATCCCACAGCTGTTCGCCATACGCACTTGCATCGACAACGTTTCAGTTCCCCCGTGCCTCCGCCCATCCACATCAACTGGGGCTGGCAAGGCTCCCCAGATTAGTTTAGAATCGCCGAAAGCCCTTCCGATGACTGAGGCTTTCGTGCACGACACGAGAGGCTCTCGTCCCGGGGGTGGTCAGCACATTGACCGCAGGACCTAAGCCCTTGGCGCGATCCGACAAGGATTTCGAGGCGAGTCCAGCCGTGGCTACGGAGGCCCAGAAACTCCCAGAAACGCCTAGACTGCTTGAGCCCCAATCGTCGATCCCAGAAGCTCAATCCCCAATCCAGATTCCTCAAAACCGGATCCCTTCAGGGGCAACGTTTGGAGAGCATCGGCTCAGGAGGGAACGCATCGACCCGCGATGGTCCAGTCATCGCCAATAGAGTCCGAACAGCCCACCCCGCCCAGGAGCGTTCGGATTTGCTACCAAGGTCTTGTCGCCGATCTAACGGCGATGTATCGCCGGTTCCAGGTCGATGTCCCCACCCCCCCGAGCTAGTCCCCCCGTCTCGCTCGAAAAAGCGAAATCGTCCAAACCTCCAAAAGCTTGTGCTTATGCTTGTGCCTTTTTGCTGCTCCTGTACAGTCAGCCCGCACAGTAAGGATGGGCGATCATCCGAGGTGTCGTACCCTTGCATCCTTGCCCCCTCGGCCCATCCTGAGCGACTTTCGCTGGCCAACCTCGTTTGAGAAACGTAAAATGGCCCATCAATGCCCCTGCATCCTTTCAGTCGGACCGCTGTGCAAGATCGCGGTCGGTTCGCGGTGGGTGGCCTAATGTTATTCGGGTTTGGTGGATGTTCTTGTGCAGCCTGGCGATGGTGCCCTAGGCTGTTCTGTGTGTGTGTTTTGGCCTGCGGAGGGTCTCATGTTTTTGTAGGCTGCTCTTCTGGCCTGGGTCCGATTGTACAGTGGAAACCGATGCCTAGAAACGTCCTGTTTGCATCCAGGGTGCCCTGGTTTTCTTTGGGTTTCGACGGTTTTGCCATGGAGAGCGCGGCGTTTCTCCTACCAAAAATCAATGGACGTCCTGGGGTCTCAGGGTTGGTTTTCTTGTGGAAGGCTTCCTGTGGTCGAGCCCCTACTGTATGGGTTCACTGTAATCGTTCTTCCTCATCCCCGAACCAAGGCCAGGGCCCTCCCTCGGGGGAGGCTGCAGGCGTGTGCCGCGGCGGCGGTGCCTTCGCCGCGGCGCGCGCCTCCCTCTGCGCCGCCACGCGGCGGGCCGAGGTGCTCGCCGATGGGGGCGTTTGCTGCATCGACGAGTTCTGGGGGGGGGTCGCCCATGGGCCAGTCTTCATGCTGCCGGACGTTTGACAGGTGAGTCCGTCTGTGTCGTGTGCTGTTCTGCCTTTTCCCTCCTCCTTCCCCGCTCCGTCCTCGTCCCTTCTGTCTTCCCTTTCCTGCCGTCTGCCACGGATCCTGCACTTCAAGTAATTGTTGACGCTTCGCGTATCCCTTCCAGCCCATCCAGAAACGATGCCCAGGAGAGCTGACGGGAGAAGGGAGGAAGAGACGCACATAGTGAAACAGCGTGGGCAACAACGGTGACTAGGGAGATCTCTGGTGGCGAATGGTACGGGTGCTGCTGTTGGTGCTGTTGCTGCTGCTTGTACTGGTGGTGGTGCTGCTGCTGCTGCTGCTGCTGGTGCTGGAGCTGCTGGTGGTGTTGTTGTTGGTTCTCGCGTTGTTGGTGCTGCTGCTGGTGCTGCTGCTGGTGCCGTTGCTTCTGTTGGTGGTGGTGCTGCTGTTGCTACTGGTGTTTGTTTTGGAGGCCTCTTGGAGCGAAGCGTTTTGGACGCCTCTTGGGGCCGTCTGGGTGCCTCTTGGGGCCCTCTTGGAGCGCTCTAGGAAGGGTTTAGGGGCGCTCTCGGGGCCATCTTGGAGGAGATCGATCAAAGACGGGGGTTCCACAATTACGCCCCCCCCCCCCCCCTCGGGAGCCCCCAAAATAGCCTCCTGTACCACTCTTGGGGCGCTCTTGGAGCGTTCTTGGGCACTCTTGGGGCCGTCTTGGAGCTCTCTTGGGCCCCTCTTGGGCTCTCTTGGGCCATCTTGGAGCCATCTTGAAGCCTCGCATGGCTATCGGAAGCGAAAAGGCGAGAAGGCAAACACCATTGGTTTTCCTTGGGTTTTTCTTGGAGGCCTCAGTGGAGGTCTCGGAGACCTCTTGGAGCCGTCTTGGGGCGGTCTTGGAGCCTCTTGGAGCATCTTGGAAGCCATCTTGAGGCATCTTGCGCTGTCTTGAGCCATCTTGGAGTTCATCTTGGGCTCCCTGAGCCCCTCTTGGAGCCGTCTTGTGCCATCTTGGAAGCTCTGACCGCTCGCGAAACCCCCCGTCCAGGTCCAGGGGAAGGGGAAGGGGGTAGGGGGGAGGGGTAAACCCCTCCCAGAAGGGGAAGAAGGGGGTTGGAAGAGGAAACTCCCTAGACCACCTACGCCCAGAGGGCTGGTGGGATTACTTGGCTGCCGCGCAGGGCCGCCTCTTCGCCCTGGCCCGAGGTGTCCTGTCCCAGGGTCGGACGTGGTTGGGACGCGGATGCAGTGGGGGCCCATGCCAAGAAACACCCTGCTTGCCTCCAGGGTGCCCTGGGTTCCTTGGATTTCGATGGTTTTCCGATGGAAAGCACGACGCTCCCGCGCCAAAAATTAGTGGACGTCCTGGGGTCTCAGGGTTGGGTTTCTTGTGGAGGGTTTCTTGTGGACGGGCCTCCACTGTGGATGGGCCTACACTGTGAATCCGTTCTAGAGCGTTCCAGAGCGCTCTCAGAGCGTTCCGGAACGCTCTGAGAAGGCCGCCGCGCTCGGGACATCCTCCAGGGCCGCCGGATCTCAGAGAATCCCGATTAATCCTGACCCGACGTGACCCCCCTCGTCCTGGCTCCGTCGCAGTCGCCCCTTCCCCTGGCCCAGGGTGTCCCAGGATTTCGAGGGAGGCCCCGACGGGGCCTTCAGAGCCCCCCTCACGAGGCCCAGGGGGCTTCTTGCGGAACGCTGGAGGGCCTCCGACCGTGCCACCCCGACGGGTTGGGCCCGACACGCCTCAAGGGGGGGGGGCGGGGCCTCCTCCTCGTTCTCCTCCTGCTCCTGCTCCTGCTCCTGCTCGTCCTGCTGCTCCTCCTCCCGGTGCCGACATGCGTTGCGGTAAGCCGCGCGGGCTTTGGCATTTGGGCCTCCGCGTGGGCCCCCCCGGGGCCACGAAGCGTGCCGCGGCTGTGCCGAAATGGGAGGCGGGAGCCCGTGTGAAGTTTGGCGTTCGGGCCTCGGTGGGGGCTCCCCGTGGGGCAACTGAGCGTGCGGGGGGGAAGGGGGGGGCACGTGAGATGGCGCCCCCGCCTGCTCGCTGCGGATTCGCACGAGGTCCCCCGAAGCAAGCGAACCTGATGAGCCGATGTTCCACCACCAGCTCCATAGGCAGGAGAGGGAGGAGGAGGAGGAGGAGGAGGAGGAGGAGGAGGAGGAGGAGGAGGAGGAGGAGGAAGAAACAGATCGGGGGCAACGATTCGGGGCCCGCTAGCGCCAGCCCGCCCAGGAAGGTAGGAAGGTGCGGTCTCGCTAGCAGGGGCCAATCGCCGGGCTATCGACGATGTATCGCCGATTCTAGGTCGATGCATCGGCCTCTATGCCAGTCCCCCTCCCCTACCGTTGCCCTTTCAGCAGAGGTGGCAAAGGAGGGGGACGAGGAGGAGGAAGAGGAGGATAATGATGATGATGATGATGATGATGATGATGATGATGATGATGATGATGATGATGATGATGATGATGATGATGATGATGATGAGGAGGAGGAGGAGGAGGAAGGAGGAGGAGGAGGAGGAGGAGGAGGAGGAGGAGGAGTCGACGAGGAGGAGGAAGAAGAAGAGGAGGAGGAGGGGGGGGAGGGGGGGGAGGGCAGGAGGAAAAGAACAAGGATAAGGACAAGGACAAAGACAGGGATGAGGAAGAGCAGAAGGAGGAGGAGGAACAGGAGGAGGAGGGGGGAGGAGAAGGAGGAGGAGGAGGAGGAGGTGGTGGTCGAGGAGAGGAGGAGGAGACGGAAGAGGAGGTGACGGTCGAGAAGGAGGATGAGGAGGAGGCGGAGGAGGAGGAAGCAACATATCGGGGGCAACGATCAAGGGCCCGCTAGCGCCAGCCCGCCCCATGCATCCCCGATTCGGTTGCCCTTGCATCATTTCCCCTCGGCCCATTCTTGGCCGCTTTCGCTGGCCGCGCCCCGCTCGCAGTGTGTCGACATGGCCTTTCGAGGCCCTTGCGTCTTTATCGTGCGTCCATATTACGCGGGTCGTTTGTAATCGTGTCCCCGGCGGGGAGGACGAGGAGGAGGAGGAGGAGGAGGAGGAGGAGGAGGAAGAGGAGCAGGAGGAAGAGGCGCAGGAGGAGGAGGAGGAGGAGGAGGAGGAGGAGGACGAAGCAGAGTTGGTACGAGGTGGTGTCCGCGACTTCCCGCGCGGCGGGGGGCGCAGGTTCTCTACCATCCGCAGCCACGACCGCGCGGCCGTGCACGAGGCGATGGAGCAGCAGACGGCCCCCGGCCTTGGGGGGCCGACGGAGCAAGGAAGGAGGAGGATGAGGAGGAGGAGAAGGTGGAGGAGGAGAAGCGCGCCCGTTGCTGCAAGAAAGAGAGAGAGAGAGAGAGAGAGAGAGACGCTGAGGAGGACGAGGGGGACGAGCAGGAGGAAAAGGAGGCGACGGCCCCCGCGTCGGGGGGCCGAGGGGGGAAGGAAGTGTGAGGAGGAGAAGCGCGCCCGTTGTTGCAAAAGGAAGACGGGGAGGAGGAGGAGGAGGGGGAGGAGGAGGAGGAGGAGGAGGACGAGGAGGAGGACCAGGGTGAAGCGATGATGCGCCAGGGACACTGCAACTCACCCTCCCGTCTCGAGCCCCCTCTTCAGAAGTCCCTGGGAGTGTTCGTTGTCCCTACGGGGAGGGCCTGTTCCTGTTCCCTCCTGCACCTCAACACATCCCCCTCCTTCTCTCCTTCCCCTTGTCCCCTCCATGTCCCGTCCTCATCCCTGGATGTGTCCTTCTGGGGGATGCCCTGGACAGGAGCGCCTTCTGCCCCCCCCCCCCCCCCCCCAGCCCCCCCCTGATAGTCCCGCCTGACTATGCCCGCCCCTCTTGGGCTCCTCTTCCTGCCCTCCCTCCGCCATGGTTCTCGCCACAGCCCCCCCCCCGGCCCCCGTGCCCCCTTTCTCCTCGTCTCGTGCCCATTCCCTCCTCGCTCTCCTTTTTCCCCCTTCTCCTCTTCTCCTCCTTCCCCTCTCGTTTTCCTCCTGCTCCTCCCCCATTCTCCTCCATCCGTCTCCATCCATCCCCTCCCCGTCCTGGACGCCAGCAAGGCGACCAGCAGACCCCATCAGGGGCGGGGCAGAGTCGACCCGCATAGTAAGGATGAGCGGCTTTCCAAGGTTACCCTATCGACGGGCGCTGACCCTATCGACGGGCGCTGATGGCTCCTATGTCTTGTCCGACGCAGCCTCCCCCCTCCCGGGGGCCGTTGCCCTTGAGGGAGGGTTGCTCAAGCCAGGTAGCTCTACGCGTAAGAAGACGAAACGAGACCGGCAGACCCCACCAGGGGCGGGGTACAGTCAACCCGCATAGTAAAGATGAGTCGGATGAGCGGCTGCTCCAGGTTGCCCTTGCATCCTTTCCCTTCGGCCCATCCTTGGCCGCTTTCGCTGGCCGCGCCCCGCTCGCAGTGTGTCGACATGGCCTTTCGCGGCCCTTGCGTCTTTATCGTGCGTCCATATTACTCGGGTTGATTGTAATCGTGTCCCTGGCTGGGAGGAGGGGGAGGAGGAGGAGGAGGAGGAGGCGGAGGAGGAGGAGGAGGGAGGAGGAGGAGGAGGAGGAGGAGGAGGAGCAGGAGGAACAGGAGGAGGAGGGAGGAGGAGCAGGAGGAGGAGGAGGAGGAGGAGAAGGAGAAGGAGGAAGGAAGGGGAGGGGAGGAGGAGGAGGAGGAGGAGAGGAGGAGGAAGGAGGAGGCGGAGAGGAGGGGGAGGAGGAGGAGGAGGAGGAGGCGGGGGAGGAGGAAAATCGAGGAGGTAAACGAGGAGGAGGAGGTCCTGCGGGGGGGAGGGAAGAACGAGCAAGAGGAGGAGGCACACGGGTGGCCCAGGTCTCGGTGGCCAAGGGCGGGCTGGTCTGCCGGCTCCGCTCTCGCTGCAGCGTCGTGGCCGCGCAAAACTGCCGCGGCGGCGGCGCGCGGCCGCGCGGCCGCGGAGGAGCCCGCTGCGCTTGCCGTCGTCCCCCCGCCTCCCGTCATCCGCCCCCCCAGCCCTCTCCCCACCTATTGCCGTCCGTTCCTCCTCTCCCCCCTTCCTCTAAGGCGTCCCTCCCCTCCGTCCCCTCCCTCCCCCACTCTTTTTCCTTCTTCCCCCCCTTCTCCCTCCTCCTTTTCCTCTCGCTATTTCCTGTCTTCTCTCCCTTGTGTGAATTTGTGTGCATAGCACATGTGTATATATATATATATATATACACACACCGCAGTTGCGGATAGGAGTGAGGGGGCTGCGGGAACGTCAGCAGTCTGCGAGGCTCTGAAGAAGCCCGCCGCAGGCGCAACATTTTCAAGTTCTACAACGAGATGGCCGCAGGCGCCGATGTTTTGTTAAAACAATATGGGTGGGTCGCGGGTTCGGTCGCAAGTGGGTCGACGGTGGGTCGCGGGCCGCGGGTGGGTCGCGGGCCAGGTTCGCGGGTGGATCGCGGGTAGGTCGCGAGCGGGTCGCAGGGTGGGTCGCGGGTGGGTCGCGGGGTGGGTCGCGGGTGGGCCGAGTCGCGGGGGGACGACGACAACAAAGAACCATGACAAGAACAACAACAACAACAACACCAACAACAACAACAACAACAACACCAACAACAACAACAACACCACCACCACCAACAACAGCAACAACAATTATTACACCAACAGCAACAACAACGCAACAAGCAGAATTCCCACCACGGATCCGCACTTAAGCCACGCACCCAGGGACAATGAATGACCGTTCGGCCCCGTCATTCTTATATATATATATATACACATGTACTTATACAAATCAATGTGTGTATTGAGGAGACTGACCTACGAGTACAGTAGATTTTAATCCCTCGTGTGCCACGTGGTGTATGTGTTTGCCACCATTCACATGATTCAACATCGGTTCAGCATGTTTGTGGCGACGATGCTGACGACACGAGCAACTACAGACAAGTCAAATAATTCAACCGAGTACGACTACTATACCCCATGGCCCATGCAGCAGTGAGGATAACATGTGAACGCGAAGGAGGCTAAGCAACATTCCAAGACAACAAAACACGATGGACGATAACAAAACGATCCATAGCCATTTTTGCTCAAGGCAGAGCATTGCCTAGAGTTCGGAAAATGAGCAGCGACACGAATTCTCTTCTCGTTTTTCTGCTTGCATTCTGCTCGTGCTCGACTCGCGTGACCGCAGCAGCGGTCGCCAGTGGCGTTTCGGAGATGAGCTGTGCCTTCCGCAATGGCACGCTTCGATTGAGCCGATCCGGGGCGATCCGACGAACGTTCTGAACTTGGGAGTGGAGGTTTCGTTCTACGGGAGTGGTGGGATTACAAAGGACTGAAGGGCTGTAATCTGATCTGCAGGGCCTGGAAGCGCGCCGCTCTTTGACGGTGCTGCAGAGGCGCACTTCCGTGTTGCCTTCTGCTTCGTGCGCGCCTGGACAGAGATCACAGAGTCCGGGAAGTTGCCGAGCAAGCGCAGGGGGAAGTTCAGCAAGTCGTTT